ATCTGTATAGCGCCTTTCACAGACCAGGATCACAAAGCGCTTCACATTTTTAAAAATACAGATACTAATCTCTCTCTCCCTAATCTCTTTATTAAAAGCAACATATTTGAGTGATTTTACGGCAAAATAGTTACTTTCACATTAAATTAAATGTCGGGTGCGTAGGATTTAGATCAAAACGTTTTTAGAGCCTTTGCCACGCCCCTTCTGGTTGTCTAATTGATTAAGCCGAAATGTACTTATTTGACGGCGCACACAGTATAGTTTGGATACTATTTTAAGCGTAATGAACCCAGGGAGCGGCTACACATGGATCAAAACCACAGCTGTCGGCAAAATGAAATATCATCAGAGAATGTTGATATTTCATAAGATAGACTCAAAATGCGTCTCTGCTAAATCACTCCACTTCCTTCTCCCGACTGAAGGATGAAGGCAGAGCTATAGGGAAGTGTCGCCGGAACTTTTAAATGTCAAAATCTCATTCACAAATATAAAACGGAGTAGAAAGCTCCCAATGAAATAATAAAACGAGTTATAAAGCGCAGCGTCGTCATGTTTTCAGATAAAAGGCTACATTTATGAGAATTTGAAGAATGCTTTTGAGAGAGTTGAGAGTGTGTTTTGGGAAATGGCTTAAGTTTGTAATATTTGAGAAAAAACCTGCTAAATAGATTGAGATCCTTTTGTTTTTTTGTCCCTGGGTGGGGAAATTTCAGTGTTGCATCATCGGTTACAGAACAGTAGGAATGAGGAGCACACAGCACACGATAAATGAACAATAACTCTCTTCTAAAACAAAATAAAATCTCTCACTTACGCATAACAAAGAAGCTAGAATAAAATCTGTAGTTTTAACATAATAAGCAAGTCTAATGTCTCCAACTTTGATCTCTCATGCAAACATGCAAAAGAACGAATATATTATGTTGAACCAGCAGCAACGCCCGATAATTATAGTATTTATTGTCAATATATTGGAGCAGATTGAAAATCAAGAGAGCTGGCCCTACAGTCAAAACAAACAGGTCCAAGGCACAAAAAGGTCTGAATCATATTTGTAACCAATCCCATTAAAACCAAATCAAATCAAAAAACAAACTTAAAAGGACGCAGTGAGATACAGTAAATGCATTGCAAAAAACGGTGTAAATAATTGTAATCCAATAAAAAGGGGGTAGTATATATTAAAACTGGTTGGTGTGTTTTTTGAACCCGTGTTGGCTTTTCACTGCTTTTCAAAAGAAGAGTCAAAAAAAGTCAAAATAAAAACCAGAGGGAATGATATTATAACGGACAATTAGCGCATTTATCATCCACAAGGAGCGATATAAATATTTACAAACTTCTTTTACTAAGTTTATAAAGGGAAGAGCAGTGCGTGCAACAGCCCAAACTCTGACAGTAAGCGCTTAAATCTTGTTACTCTGTCGTTATGAAGTATTGTCCGAGCTCGTACGACGTGTGTAGTTTTATAACCTTCACCTGACCCACATATAAGCAACATGGTTTTTCTTTCATTGCTGCCAAATCAACTCTATTTTAGCCCGTAGCACAAATAAACCACAAGGCTGCGTCGCTCATGGTGGAAGTGTGAAGTCTGAATGTTTTTGGATGCTTATCAAATTTGTCGTTTACCCAGCGTTCAACATGTCAGACACCAACGCCGCCCTGATGCAGGTAAAGAACAGGAAAACAGTTTCAGATTCAGTTTATTTGCCATTTGCAGTAAAAAAACCACATTGGAATACATTAGCAAAAAGTCTCCAGTGTGCACAGACAAATACAGACATAAAACAACATTAAAAGACAGAAATAAAACAAATAAAACAGTAAACAAATGTCACTGTGAAATTGATCGACTAAAACAGTTTCAAAACAAGTGCAAATCATTAAAGTGCTCTGTTCACACTGATAACAGCTTGTGGATAAAAACTGTTAGCGTAACGAGATGTCCTGCATCTCAGAGAGCGGTATCTTCTGCCAGAGGGAAGAAGCTGGAACATGGCTTTCCCAGGGTGGCCAGAAGAGTCATTAACAATCCTAAGAGCTTTGTTTAAAAGTCTGGATTTATAAAGAACCTCCAGAACAGGAAGCTCACAGCCCACGGTCCTCTTTGCAGAGCGGAGCACCTTGTTTAAAGCTCTCTTTTCTTTATCTGTGATGTTTCCAAACCACACAGACACAGAACCAACAAGTAAACTCTCAATGGTGCAGCGATAAAAGTTGAGCAGAATCTTACAACAAGTATTCTTCCATACACAGGAAACAGAAAATCCGCAATAATAGACCGCTATATACAAATGTATTCATATTAGTTAGAGCTTATCGAAATGGTTGCTTTGTTTTCTTCTCCTTCAGGCTCAGCTCAGCTCCGTGCAGCCACATCACAGTCACCGTGAAGAAGACGGCGGAAGGAGAAGCTCACAGGAATCCTAAATCTTTGTGTTTATGCTCTTTAAAAGTGAAGCACCACTGAGCGCCTCCTCATGAGGACACCAACCGCCAATAAATTGCATCTTTGACTCCGCAGCATCAGACCAGCACGATGTGTCCAAACGCTACAAAAGTCACTGAGTAAAGTCAGCAGTATACAATGTTCTTCACACACAAATGTTTTTTTTTAGGAGTTTGCAGCAACATGAAAAGTTTGGCTTGATGTCAGAGACGAGTGAGGTCTGACAGCCTTCTTTAAGCCTTCGGGTGCTTCGGTTTCCCTACCACTAAAAAGTCCTGAGTCCTGAAGTCGAGCATCAATAATTGAAGATGGGTCCCGGGGCGTTGTACTTCGGCGACCTCGGCTCCTGACAGACTCCCTAGTGGCATCAGGGTGGCTCAAATACAGAGGATCAATTGCCCTACTTGGATAAACAAAGCGCACCTTTACCTTCACCTTTGCACTACTGTGGTCTACAGGACACTGCTTCATACGATAAGGACAGATGAGATTCATAAAGACGTATGGATAGTTTCATTAGGTGAGAATGAAACTATCCATCTGTCCATTTTCTTCCGCTTCATCCATTGCCAGGTCATGGGGGCAGCAGTCCAAGAGCAGAGAGAGCCCAGCCTTATCCTCTCCATTCACTTTCTGCAGCTCATCTGGAGGAATCCCGAGGTGTTCCAGGCCAGCTGAGAGACACAGTCACTCAAGGCCTGTGGGAGGCGTTCAGGACAGAAGCAGCAGCTCTACTCTGAGCTCCTCACCTCTCTGACAGAGCAAACAGCCAGTCTGCAGAAGAAACTAATATCAACCGCCTGGATTTGTGATCTCGGATATTATGAAACCATTATTATTTCACGCTTGAATATACTGTAGTGGGAGTAAAAGCGTCGCTCCGTTGATCTTCAAACTGGTCCAATCTCTTGAAAACGCTGCGTGTGTGTTTTCTATAGTCTCCAAAAGCCTGAATAGGGCATAACGTTGTCCCTTTAAAGACAGTAACCCTGTGAAGCTGCATGGCTCTTCCCTCCCGTGTTTTATGGCCCCATCTCTGCGCGCTACTGTACCAAAAGTGCGCTCCTGTTAAGCTTGGCTGGAGTGGGTGTCTGAATGAGTTACTCCTCCCATAAAGGCGTAATAGAAGGACAATCAGCAGCTTGTGTCTGTGCAGCCGGCTCACTATTTACCTTTTTATGTGTGCGTAAATTTGACGGCCCCAAGGACGGCGCGGGCTCCCTGGGTATATCTGCTCCCCCTCACCGCCGCGGGGCCTGTAAAGAACATAAAGGAAGGGCTCAGATAAGAAGAGGCTTTTTGCGGCTTTTGTTCAGAGAGGTGGAAGTTGTAAATTTGTGTAGCGTTTGTGTGTGTGTGAGAGACTGGACAGATCGTATCGGTGTGAATGAAAAGTTGGAGACGCGTTTTCGAGCGGAGCCGTTATATTGTGTGTTTAGAGAAAAGATATTATCCATTACTTGTGTTCATATTGTTTCTCGAATGACCCATTACATATGGCGGTCAAGTCAATGTCCACCGGCTCACTGCAGAAAAAAACTAAATATGAGGAAATAAATGCTTGAATCCAGTGTTATTCCACTTTATTCTGAAACAAGATTTGCCAGTGGAACAAATCCATTTAGTAATTTATTTATTTCAGGAAATGTTGCTTTTTTCTCATTCCAAGGAAAACATTTCTTCTTAAATCTTTCAATAGCCGAATTTCAAATACACACAAAATCTGTTGTTTGGGAAAATTATCATACGAAGCAGTAATGTAAAATTTTTTTTGAGAGAGACCTTCACAGGCAATGATACTGACTTGAATTTGATGCTTAGAGACTGAGACCGACATTTTGGAAGTGAGACAGCTCCGCCCCCTGGTGAACAGTTGGAAAAAATTGTCAAAAATGTGGATGTGGAGTAGTTGGGTAATAAGGTTGTTGCAAATCTACAACGCCTGTCAGGAGAGGGTTTAGACAGTCAAATGTCTTCAAATTATGCATTTAGCCAAATTTTAAACTATTTTGTGCCCTTAGTTCTACCTGGGATTGACTTAAATCTTGTTTGTTTATGAATCCCTTAGTCTGGAGTCTACCTATATTTCTGATTTCTGTAAATGGAACACTGCTGAACAAGTAAGTCATTGTTTCATACGTACGTCTATATTACATACTGTACATATACTGCACCTTTCACAGACGCAGTTACAAAGCCCTTTACGATTGTTGTGGGCATCACTCCACATAGTAATGGAAGCTGTGTCGCCAACAGGAGACACGGGTCAGACCTATAATAGATGTTATTAGAGTTAGGGGACACCGGAGCACCTGGAGGAAACAGCACAAGCACAAACCGCTGTGCCAACGAGCAAAGGTTAAATGTGCTCTGATCCTGAGCTCATTCAAGAGACTTATTCAGACTTTTTCCATTTTTGGTAAAGTATCCGATTACACAGCTCCTTGTTCTTAGTAAAGTGCTGTGTTCTTCTTGTGCTCATTATTTAGTGTTCAAAGTTGGCCGTCCCCAAAACATGTTGGCTAGTTCTGGTCCTCTGGGTTCATGTGGGCAGAGGTGACACCTCCATAACGCTCTGTCTGACGAGAGAAACATAAGAGCCTTCTGACCAATCAGAGTGCACTAAGCAATTTAAAAAGACAAAGTTATTGATGACAAAGATCTCCACAAAATCTGAGCTTTGTGAAGGTTCCAGTTGTTCTTTGTGAACATTATGGTCTGGGAGTAGATCTGCTGCAAGCATTGTTTTGTAACTGTCTGACTGTCAAAATAATACATAAAACTATAACCTCTTGTCCTCCTCCTGATGTTTAATACAAGTGTTATGTGTGCGTGGAGCTGACGTGGAGCTGATGTGGAGCTGACGTGGAGCTGAGGTGGAGCTGACGTGGAGCTGGCGTGGAGCTGAGGTGGAGCTGATGTGGAGCTGACGTGGAGCTGAGGTGGAGCTGGCGTGGAGCTGAGGTGGAGCTGATGTGGAGCTGACGTGGAGCTGACGTGGAGCTGACGTGGAGCTGACGTGGAGCTGAGGTGGAGCTGGCGTGGAGCTGAGGTGGAGCTGATGTGGAGCTGACGTGGAGCTGAGGTGGAGCTGGCGTGGAGCTGAGGTGGAGCTGATGTGGAGCTGAGGTGGAGCTGACGTGGAGCTGGTGGCCCCGCCCCCTGGGACGACAGCTGAAAATGAGCCTTTGGCTACAATCTGACGTGCACAAAAATTGTTAAACCATTTATGTTCTTTGACATGTACTGTGCCAGTCAAATAAATACACAAAAACAAAATGCAGGCATCACTGACTACACAATATTTGAAATTTATTTTGATTGCAATCCGCGTCACTGCGCCTTTCACTTGGTTTGTAGTTTGAGTTGATGAGCGACTCAGTGAAACATTTAAAATCTAAAAAAAAAAGACTATTCACATAATATATGTCTTTTAATAGTTTTGAGAGTTTAAGTATTACTTGGTCGGAGTACAGTAATTATGTCCTTCCATCTGCAGTTGTCAGAGCAATCAGTGAAGTGTGAGTAAAGCAGGTTTAATCACAGAGCACACTCTGCACCTGCCACAACACAGAGCATCACACAGAGCTCAGACCTGAGGCTGCAGCACCACACTCTCCATCAAATGGTTCATATTCACTGGAACTATGTGGCACCACCTGCATGGGAAAGCCTGATCCAGACAGGCCTTAGAGGCGAAGCAAGACACAGCCTGTTTACTACTGTGATGGGAGACCCAGGAACACCAGGTTCCAAAGTGGGGCGGCTGCGGCTTTAAAATGCTAGACTGTTGTTGTGTTTTCTAGGCAAGACACTTCACCCACATTACCTAGAATGAGTCTCTGGTTTGTGTTTGGTGTGGTTGGTGGTGGTGGAGTGGCTGATGACACACACTGGTTGCCTCGCTTATGTCTGTGTACGCTGCAACACTGACATTTCCCAACAGTGGGACAACTACAGGTTTGCATCAAAGTTTGCAAATAAACTAATGTCTGCTTAAAACGCACACAAAAGACTCACCAACAGGACTAGACTGGCCGAATGGGGCACCATATTTGGCCATTCTGCCTGCCTCATTCATAAAATAAAAAAAAAATAAAAAAAATCCTTGACTGCGATGGAAACAAAGAAACAAAGTGACCCATTGGTTGATTTTCATGAAGGTTATTGGACTAGTCCGACAGTCGGCCCGCCAAGCAATTTTATCTGGCTCGTTGCTCTTATTTCATTAAAGTCTACTTTTTCTGACTTTTTCTGTCCACATGCCAATGATACGAGTGCTGTGTGTGAGGAGCTGATCTAAAGCCTAGGACCGCTAGCAAAAATATGTTTCCCATTGAGAGCGAGTATTATTGAACTATTTTGGGCTGCGCTTGTCTGCAGTGTGGACGGTGCTCGCTGAGAGAAGGGACCCCGCAGCAGAGACAGAATGAGACCGAGGTCAGAATTTAGCCTAACTCTCGCTATTCTAGTATATAATGATAATAAGGATAAGCCTGTGATTGTGATAGCAATTAGCATCAGTGGTTAGGTTAGCGGTTTGCTAAAACGTTTTTTGGTCCCAGTCTTGCCCTTCTTGCCAATGATTCAAAAATGCTAAAAATTAAGGCGTTTCCTGTATATTGGACAACCACACAGTCACATACTTTCTCTGATTACAAATGGCAGGACTTATGACTCATTCCACCGCCTGGAGTTAGGACCACTGTTTTGTGGCTGCATATTTAGGATGTGAAATGTCTTCTCCCCATGGATCCCTCTCGCTCTGTCATCTCTGAAGCCCCAGTATTACCCTATAATCGAACAGAATCTCTTTGTTTGAGCTCTCTTAAGCACCACATCCCAGCTCCGTCGACAGATTAGAATGTGCCTCGGTCTCACGCTGGGAGCCACCTCCGCGGGGGGTATACGCACTTCCCTGCTTCCCTCGGGCGTCGTCATTTCTCCGGGACGTTTGCGCACACGCACACACATTACGGCGTTCACGGTTCAGCGCTCCTCGCCGGGGCCTCCCTCCTGCCTGGGCCTGCAAATGGATAAATTAATACATTCTCTTGAAACAAATTGGAATTACACCCCTCGATGGCTTGTAATGTGAGCGGGAGGGGGCTGAGAAGAACATGGAGATTTTTTTTTGGATGGAAAAAAAAAAAACAGCAAGGGGCCGGTGTACGGTGCAACAGGAAGATGAGGGCAGTAGCGGCGGCTGGAGGTTTGTAAAGATGTGGAAAAGAGTCACGTTAAAGTTGAAAGAAATAGAAATAGAGAGGATTGTCACAAAAAAGCATTGAGGTTGGAGTGAGTGATGTCCTGGGAAGAGACAGAATAATACTGGGATTGATTCCACCTTTCTGTGTGGAGTTTGCACGTTCCCCCCTGTGTCTGTGTAGGTTTCCTCCAGGTGCTCCGGTTTCCCCCACCTCTAAATCCATGTACAATAGTTTTGGCATGTGCCACTACCATCACTGAGAGGACTAATAACCACAACAATTGTAAAGCGCTTTGCGACTGTGAAAGGCGCTACATAAATAAATATGACTTACTTACTTACATTCAATAGATCAGTGGTTCTCAAACATTTTTCACCAAGTACCCCCTCAGAAAATACTTGCCTCTCCAAGTACCACCACAAAGGACCAACACCACACAGTAGCGTAATAAGCCTAAGTATTCATCAAAAACAAGGCAGAGGTTTAATTCCTAAAGAAGCTTTTGTACATGCTGCTCTTCTACATGGAACGTGTTGCAAAAACACTGGAAATGATCGACTGTATTTCATTGAATGCTTTCAGATCCAGACTGAGAGCACTTGAGACATCTTCAGTGAAATGCAACTGTTTTTATAATCCGTAATTTTATGAAATTGTAAGTAACAATTTATGATCTGTAAATGTATGTAATTTTTGTACAGGACTCCCTTGATTTTTAAGACTCACAGAATATTGTGTGCTATGACTATGAAAAATATGAAACCAGAGTCTGAAAGATTGGACTGTCTACTTTCAGCAGCAAAACGTTTGTTGTTTGTTTTTAGCTTGTTTCGTTCTCCTGTGATCTCCAGTCGAAAAGAGGGGAGTGTGACAAAAAGCACCAGTCTTAGACAAAAAGCTGAGAAAATGAGGTGTTTGTGAAAACAGACGAACCTGCAGAAAAGTGACTGTAACACTATTTAGTTTAACTTTAGCATCTCCTCAAACATGTCCAGGATCTTACATGTTAGAAAACAGAAACAACACGTTATGAAAAGTGTTTTTGATGCAAAACAATATGTTTTATGGCACACACACCCACATCCACAAAGTGTTGCTCAAAAATTTCAAAATGCACTCATCCAAAAAACGTCAACATTTACATATTGAAAGTAGAGCCCATGACAAAATCTCCCAGAAAGAATGGCCAGTATTCATCCATTAGGTGGTGCTATAGTCATGTCAATAAGAGTACCCTTAGGGTACGATCAAAAATCAGATTTTTCAATACAAGTTTTTAAATTATCTTTTTGAGAAAAAGAAAAGTCTTCCTCTGGTGGTAGCACAGGGCATTACAGGCAGAAAGCATGTTTTACCCTTCATATTTGTGTCACCATATTTTTTTCTACTCACGATATTAGCTCACCTTGTAAAACATGAAATACCAAAGTATATTAGTAAAACTCAGATCATGACAGAGGCATAAGGTGTGGGTAAAACATAAGACTATAAGTTAATTAGTGATCATTGCTGGAGGTACTTACCACTTTTCTCAGTCATCTCTCCATCTGCCCCCAGGGGTCCTACAGGGTATTTGGACTGTGCTTGTTGGACCCGTAAAACGCTAACCTGTGTTTTCCTCATACTTGATTATGTAGTCAAAAAATCTGACTGCAGGGGGCGCTGTCATTCGTCCTCTTGAAAGGGACATAGCACCAAAAACTTCCGAAATCCAAAGTCAGTAAAAATAACTCATTTTTATTGATCTTTGTAGCATACAACCAAGACATGTTAATGAAATATGAACCAACAGGGACTCTGATGAGCACAGGGACTGGCCTCCTGCTGGGACTCTGAGGAGCACAGGGACTGGCCTCCTGCTGGGACTCTGATGAGCACAGGGAATGGCCTCCTGCTGGGACTCTGAGGAGCACAGGGAATGGCCTCCAGAAAATGTGAGACAGGCTACTACTCTGACAATGTTCAAATCCAGGAAGAAAAAAAATGCAGTACATACAACTGAAAGATTACTTCTATCTAGTTTTGTTAGGTACTTTGAGTTGCCTTGTGTATGAACTGTGCTCTACAAATAAACTTGCCTTGTCTTGCCACAACATTTAACTTAAGTAGCATTAGAAATATCCTGATATGAAGGTATTGGATTGTCAATGTTTAAAACACATGTAAGGGTTAGGGTCCTGAATTGGGATACAGCCACTGTGTCAATCAGCAGCGAGACCAGTCCCAGTGACATCACAGACCCTTCTGGGGGGTGCAGTCCAAGACATGACAACACACACTTTCATTGTACCGTTGTCTGTTACATAAGGAGCACACTGGAAGTTCACACACGCTGTTTACAAAAGACATCATTTATTTTTTCTCTCTGTCTTAAACTTCTGACTTTGAAAAATCACCTCTGAATATTGAGCCATTGAGCCAATAGAAATAAGCCTGGTCAAAATAACTGAGATCACAAAGTAAATGAACATGACTTTTGGCATAATACAAACGCCTGATTTTCATTAAAAAACAAGAAGTAGATGTGGTCCCTAAAACTGTGATCACTGAATAACTGTCATTGTGTTTCTTTCTATTATAATCTAAACTTAAGTTACATATCAACATTTGAAAAGGAACACTAATATTTTGTAAATACTTTGCAGAAATACTCCACAACTGATTGTCTTGCTTGCACTGGATAAATACAAAAGAGAGCACATCACCCCGAGCTGGTCTCACTTCACTGACTCCCTTGTCAAGTTCTGGGTTAATTTAAAGATTCTGTTTTAATGTTTGAATGGTTTAGCGGCCAGGTGTCCAAACCGGTCCAGAAAGGGCCGCTGTGGCTGCAGGTTTTCTATCAGACCCAGCAGGAGCAAAGCAGACTCCGCCCATTTCCTCAAGAGAGTTCAGTCTTAACCTGAAGATTTGAGGAAATGGGTGGAGTCTGCTCTGCTCCAGCGGCCCTTTCTGGACCGGTTTGGACACCTCTGGTTTAGCCCTTGTACATGTGACAGAACAGTTATCTCTACGCCCCTGTCAGGTCAGTAAGGTCACACCAGCTTTCGTTAAATGTGCTCAGGTCTTGTGTAAAAACTCGAGGAGACCGGGCCTTTGCTCTTGTTGCTCCCAAACTGTGGAATAGTGACCTTTTTTACTTTTACATGCATTTATTTTTACTTTTTAAATGAATTTGTGCCTGTGAAGCACTTTGAGCAGCTGGTATTGTTGTAAATGCGTTATACAGATAAAGCTGACATTAACATTGACAAGGCACTAGTCAAGAAAGAGGTTAGGGCTCATTATAAACACTTTGGACGGAAATCTGGAACCCGCACGGACTGCAGCACTTTGAGGCAAAGAAGCTAAACCGTGATGATGGTGTTACCAATAATCCCCGGGGTGTAACATTAGCTTTAACTATATAACCAACAACATAAACACGACATCCTTTACATCAACATTAAAATTCAAAAGCCAAATCAGCGCGAGACTGATAAAGCAAATCTGAACGTCATCAACAACGATCTGCTCACACACAAAAACCATCCCAGTTCATTACGGTCATCATTGCGAGACGCACGCACGCACGCACACACACACACACACACACACACACACACACACACACACACACACACACACACACACACACACACACACACACACACACACACACACACACACACACACACACACACACACACACACACACACACACACACACACACACACACACACAAGTTTGTTTGTTGTGACTGAGGAAGAATTGGCAGCGCTGTGAGCCTAATGCCCTGGCACGCTTTATGTTGTCGTTTAGCAATTAGCCGAGCGCGATTCTCACTTAAGATGTGCCTCTGCTGCGGGCGCCAGATAGAGACGCCGACAGAGGCTTCTTTGCACTTACGATTTATTGGCACTTCAAGGCAGAGTCTGGGAATAACTAGGAGAGGCAGAAGGGTGCTCAGGCCTGGGGCAGCTGGGGCGGCTGTGGCAGCGGTGGTGGTGGTGGTGCGGGCTCGCCGGGTCAGAGAGTAGTCTGGTGCGGCTGCTGCGTCGGAAGGATTGTGAAAAGACCAGGCTACGAAAAGCAAGAGAATAATGAGCTTTTTTTGTTCAAATGTACTGAAATGCAGCGCCTAAAATGGCTAAACAAAAACATGAGTGAGTGAGTATAAGTTAGGCGTTAAAATCAAATTCTAAAGTGATGCGGTGTGGGGCGCCAGATAAGACAGGCGTTGTAGGCAGAGCTCTGGGCATTTTATAATAACTGGTGTCAGAAAATAAAAAATGCCTGTGACCTCTGTTAATATTGGCACCACTGACGAATGAGAGGAAATACTAAGATTTTAAGTATTTTCAAACTTGCAGAAGGATGTATGAACGAAATAAACTGCTCTATTATTAAAGCTAGGGAAAAGAACTTTCAAAACACAAAAGTAAAACTATGAAATCACACTGGGTTTCTGCTGCGCCAACTGGACTCAACCAACTAACCCAGTGTTTTTCAACCTTTTTTGAGCCAAGGCACACTTTTTTCACTGAAAAAATCTTGCGGCACACCTCCAGGAGAAAATGTAAAAATGTATACAGTACTAATGTAAAAAAATATATACTGTACATACTCTGTGTGATATATAAAGTATATCTTATCTTATAATGTATACAGTATACTCTGTAGCCTATATTCACAATATACAGTTATTCTCATCAAAATGCTTAAGTCCAGGCCTTGAAATTAAGCTTTATTTAATATTTCTCGATACAATTAACAAGAGTTTGGGAATAAAGTGGCACTAACTGTGTGGAAAAAAACTAAGAAAATCCACTCTCCGCCCAAATAGTCAAATAATAACTCACACAAAGAACATGCATTGTTAGTGCATGGGAAACATTTTGGTATCCGAGCTTTAAATTCAGGAGTTTTGGATGAGGGACACGGGAGGTCCTGAACGCGAGTCCATGGTTCTGTCCGGTCCGCATGTCTGTGGTTCTGTCCACTCGACTATGGTCTGCGCTCGGTACCCAGTTCAGAAGTGCGTTCGCGAGAGCTGTTGTACAAAAATCGTACATTTCATAGTTAAACCACTACAACGCGGCCACAGCTGCCCCGGGGCAGAGCGGAGGATGTTAATCCTGTTCAGAAACGGCATAATTCATTTTCAAAAACGTCTATCACTTTCACTTCTCACTCGCCACAAAGCTCTTGTCTCGCTCCATCACACATTTGTTGGTCGCATCCAATTTTACCTTTCTCGCCACAATGCTGACCTGATACAGCCAGTGGTCGCATCCAATTTTTCAGTTTCAAAGTACTTAGCTATCTGCTGCCATCTACTGATTTGAAAAAGTATTACATGGTTACTCACAGTTCAAAACAAGTCACCGCTCGTCAACAGCGAATGCAGCTATTTTTAGACAAAGTATACGAATTTCTCACGGCACACCAGACAATATCATACGGCACACTAGTGTGCCGCGGCACAGTGGTTGAAAAACACTGAACTAACCAACCAAACCAGACCTACTCCTAAGCTTTTACACAAGGCAAATACAACAGTTCTCATACGAACGTCATGAGCCTAAAGACTGAGAGAGAAAGAGCCCTGTGAGTCACTATTTGACACTTTGGTGCAGAGCGCTGATTGGCTGAGTGAGGGTGGTCGGCTCTTTTTCACTTTTCTATGGGAAAAAGTTGACCTTAAGATGTGACAAAAGACCTGGCTTTAAAAAGTATGGTTCTGTCAGTAGATTTTACAAATATGTGTGGATCCTTTTTTCAGACAGAAAAGTGAATAAGAGAAACTTCACTCAGTCCAGAGCAGTTTTACAAAACTCTTTCTGGTGGATAAATAAATCATAATTTAAGGTGGAGGGGGAAGCTAGGTACCATATATTTAGGTTTTTATTATTACAATAATGTGGTATAGCTAAAGGTATATACAGTATATAAATATAGGGGTGGGTCTGTGTATAAAGACTTCGGAAACAGTAAGGGTGAGAATGGGCAAGTCAAACTGCTTAAAAAATGAAATAAAAAATAAATCACAATTTCAAAAGAAAATGAGAGTATCTGTCCTGTAGCAGTTGAGTGATGGTTTCCGCGTGGGACCAGGTGGAGCTGGTGTCTTCTCTTTGGTGATAGTGTTCAGCTCTAAAAGGTTTGTCATGTTGTCATAAAAATGATTGTAAAAATACTTTGGGATCGAAGTATAAAAGGTAGTGTGCTTTATTTAGCTCGGAGGAACGGGCCAAAACGCTCAGTCCAAAGTTTGCATGTCCTCTTCGGCCGATTCCTCCTTCACGTCAGCAGCAGCAGTGGCAGAGGCAGAGGCAGAGGCAGAGGCAGGGGCATGGTCATTGTCCTGCTCTTTTGGATCCTCCTCTTCCTCCTGAAAGCAGAAGATAAAACACATCATTCCAAAATCTATTTCACTGAGCAGTGTTTTTTCATATGTTGAAGGTTTAGAGCTGGACAATTATTCCACTCCTCATCTGCCGGTTCCCCTTTAAGATAAGACGAGATAAACTTTATCGATTTCACAATGGAGAAATGTACATGTCACATTTGCATAGAAAGGATGACTCAGATTGTGCAAAAAGTGAAATTTTCATTTCATTTTGGATCTACAGCTTGTCCGTCCGTGGGAGCAGATCCGTCTCTCAATGTGGGCCTCTCCAGGGCATTCTTTGTTGATATGTGCAAGAGGGTCTAAGGACAGAGATGTAAGGACAGAGGTAATCCTGCTTCCTATGGACCAATTTGTCCTATGTATTTATTGCCTTTTCTGTGTTTGAACTGTTTTATTCTCTGTTGTTAGCAAATCAACAACTTTGTAGAGTCCTCCAAAACAACTGCTGTGATTTAGTGCTATACAAGAATAAATTAAACTGAATTGAAATTTGTAACATGGTTAAGATAATAATAATGATAGTGTGTGTCCTTAAAAGAACAGCTAATAATGTATAATCCGGACAAAAAGCCTAAATGCTGCTTGCTCTGAATGGAGCAGATCCAGATCCAGGCCTGGGTGAGATGTGTGATTTAGTGGAGCGTTGTAAGTGGAGGTGACAGCAGAGGGAGCAGGAGAGGTGATTAAAGCAGCCGACAGATACAATTATCCAGTGTCCCATCTGCGACACGTGTGCGCTGCTCAGGTCACCCCTCACCTGTGCACCACACAAGCCTTCGGAGCCTTCACCAAAACACGAATGAGACGAAAACACCAGCTGCGGAGAGATTCCATCCGTATTGCAATTCATTTGATCCATTATCATTGTGTGCTTTGTTTATTAGTCTTTTGATAACATTGTTCGCTTGTCCCCAGCCCAGTCCGACATCAATTTATTTTCAAATTGAACTTCTCTTGAACTGGTTAGTTTTATGCCGCGCTATATGAAAAATATAAGTTTGAAATAAAAACCTACTCACTTACTAATATACTGTATGTTAGATGTATGAGCAACGAGATTATTGTCAGAATGTGGATTTTGGTCCTGAACAGTTACATTTATGTAGAGAAGCCATGTGTACATAAGTTTTATATTTTACAAAGGTACGAATGGAAAAAAGTACAAAATCCAACCCATCCCACTTCTAAAAAACAAACAATACAAAAAAAACAGTATATCTGCTGTCAGACAGTAAGGACGGATAGAATTAAACGAGTCAACAAAATGTGTAAATTACAAAACAAAGTTATTGCACAGCTACAGATGGTTGATAAACATAACAAAAAAGGCTTTCAAACCTCATCACATTTCTCAAATTTCTCGAAATCAATATAATTTTCTCCAATTTAAGATTAAATGACACATCTTTGATCCAATGTAAAACTGTTGGAAGAGCGGCATCTTTCCATTTCAACAGAATCAAGCGTCTGTAATGTTGAGAAGGCGATACGTTTGTGACGCCCAGTGGGTAAAACTAAATCATCCACATCAACCCCCAAAAAAAGATAAAACAAATAAGGAACTTGTTTTGCAGTCCCTAATATAAGGGATAGAAATGTTTTTGAAAAGTTGTAAACTACTCTGAGCTTATACAATCACAGTCACACAAACAAACATGTGTGAAGCTAAAACAAACGATTACCTCAAACCAACGGCCTTGAGCTAAAACACAACACTCAACACATGCTGAAACCACTTGGAAAAACTTCTAACGGAACAATTCGCAGCAGCACACACTCGTCTCACCAAGAAAAACTGCCAACACTTCATCATTTCCTTGTGGTGTATTCCCTAATTAGAAAAACTCCCCTGAAAAGACGCATTCCGAAGCACATTTACCAGAGCGAACAGAGGGGGATGCGTCTTTAGAATGCTTATTACACTCCGGGGCTCCAACGCTGCGGCGGTGCATGCATTTCAGTTTCTGCCAAAACAAAAGTCGGGCCTCGTCTTTAAATAACGAAAGCAGTCGTGAGTCCCCAAACAACCGGCCGACCATTCAGCGAACTAATGCGGAGATGACTGGAGCCGCTTTTAACGACAACCGCTGAGAATACGGCGCTTCAGATGACGAGTGGAGGAAATGTTTTAAAAAGTGTGCGTGTGTGCGGCGCCGTTGAGGCCAGAGGACGAGGTAAAAGTGACTCAAACTGGACTGAATGGAACAAAAAGATAACTGTATCGTACTCGATCAAAGTATGTATTAGTAAACGCATGTTCGTAGGCTGACCTGGCATCCCAGTCTTAAGATCTGTGTTTTAAAACTGCTGTAGAGAAGATCTGGATGGAAGAATGGGCCAAAATACCAGCAAAAGTGTGTGAAACCTGGTGAAGGACGATAAGGAAACCTCTGTCATTGCCAACAAAAGTTATGCTACAAAGTATTGCAGCGTTATGGGTCAAATACTGGTTTTCAGCACCATTATAACAAAAATAGGGTTTAAAAATGATACAATGAGATTTTCTGGATTAAGAATAAGAGATTCTTTATTCGTCCCAAAGTGGAAAAATTTCAGTGTTGCATCACAAGTTATAGGACAGTAGGAAAGAGGAGCACACAGCACAAGATAAGATAAGTGAACAATAGCAATACTCATTAAAAAAAGCATCAAAGAACAAGTATAAAATATCTATGTTGATAATAATAATAATAAAAATAAGTGTAAATTTTCCCCCATATTCCGTCAGTCACAGTGTAAATGTGACTATGACGTGAATTAAGGGCCCCTCTCCTTTTTTAAGTGGGACAACATTCCAAAGAGCCTTTAGTTTAAAATTGTGTAAGAGGACAGCTGTAAAATGTGTCCTTCTAACTATGGTAATTGTCCAAAGTCAGAATCTAGTCTTTAGTTTAGTTTCCAAGGGCCAATCCACGAGGAACAAAAACTGCCAGAAAGTTCCACGTCTTCTTTGTGAGCACATACGAACTATAATCTCACTATTTTCTCATAAAGAAGTATTGAAGTGGTGACAATATTCAAAAACACATGCATGATGTGGGCCAGCAGAAAGGACTTTCAGACATATCATGGCACCTTCTAAATTTAATCACCATCAAATAATTATCTGGAAAAACATTTGGACATTACACATTGCTGTTTTCCTATTTGTCTTGGCTCCTGTCCTCAACCTGAAATAGCAGCCTACAACATGGACGCATCTTATTCACAGTATTTTTGAAAAAGTCATGAAAAGTGGGAGCAAAGACCCATAAAAAAACAATATAAATATGCAGATGGATGCCGTTCTTTTGTGCAGAATTTCATCTACAAGAGGTCTCCGACGAGTCTAGAGCTATACATCAGTATATGTTTGCAAACTGCATTCGTTGACAAGTTTCATTTGAATGTGTCCTCTACAAGTAAGTTCCAAGTTGCGGGGCTATCCATCCAGGTAAGTCTGAGTAAGCACTGAAGTTGGGCGTGTCACATTGCTGGAGATAGAGACGAGATGGATCCGTCGGCGTGGCCATAAATCAGGTTGTAGGACGGTCGGGGCTGTTTGGCTGCTCTCTCTGAAGCCTTGTGCGTCGCCGTAAATTAGGGTTAGGGTTAATGCCTGGGACAGCCCATAGATCATAACCAAACTAACAGGAACCTTGTGGCTGTCGGTGGAAATGCGCTGGTACACGCAGATGAATGGCACTGCTTTTCCTCTGCGCTGGACACTTTCGGTGGGATAAATCTAACCGCGGCTGAAGTGTCGTGAGGCCCTGTCCGCCAACTCTCTCGAACAAGTCTGCCAATTTTCCAATTACTTGTAAGTCCATTTGTTATGAAGGGGTCCAGGGCGGTCTTTTGTGAGAGAGAGAAACGTGAGAGAGTATTGGGAAACATGAATGGACTGTATGTTTTGAAATAATATTCTTAAACAGCGTGAACTACAGATTTCCATGTAATCCAAACGTGTTGTAAAGGGTCTTTGTTGTTGTAAAACAGATGTGTTTTGCATCAAATTTAAACTAATAAAAATCATAAAGACAGCACTAATGTGGCCGGTGCTTGATAGCTTACAGTGATATTACTTTTAAGAAAAACATCAAAACTCCACATAGATTGAACTGCAAGTTTTAATTAAAGGGTTTTTATTTTTCAGCATTTATGAATCCTGGCACCATATTAAATTAACTGGCTATTATATATTCTAAGATCCATGTTTTTAAATATTTAAATAGTATAGCCCCTGTACAGAGCCAGACAGAGATAACAGCTCTGTCAGATCAGTGAGGTCCAAAAACCAGCTTTTGTTGAACGGTTTTTAAATCTAGTCCAAAGACACATTTTATACATGATATAATTGAATTGATACCGTATATTCAATATTTAATTAAATCATTTTCACTAACATGTTTTCACAGAGTTAACTGTACTTTTGTGACTCTAATCTATTGTATTTGCCGGCGCAGTAAAAACCTGTGCCACCTCATCCACTCATACTCTCACATCCAAACCTTCTTCTCTTGGAGGCAAACCGAGAGAAACTACAAACATTTACCTCTGAGATAGTTTACCACAGTTCACTTTTAAATAAGCAAAACACATGTACACACAACAAGCATGTCTACTCCTGGAACTGTTCTCCTCATGTGTGATTTTGAGGTTTTTTTTGGATCATCCCTTAGATCTCTTCAGACTTCTGATGAAGCAGAGCTGAATATGACGTGTGTTTTTCACAGTCTGGTAGCTAAAACGGCCCGGGTTATGAGGTCAGCGCAGTCTCCATCTGTCTCTACAGCTGGTTCAGGAAAAACATATCTTTGTATGCACCTGGAATTCAAACCGCAGAGGAAATAAATGCACAGGTATATTTGAAAATAATAATAAAAAGTTACATTTATATCAAGTGAAAAACACCTCATGAATAAAACCGTGCGGGAAAAAAGCAAAAATCAAGCCTTACATACTGTATTAGCACTTTTCTCCCATATTTTTTAAATTGT